AAAGATAAAACAGAAATGTGTGGAGAGTAGAATAAGGTTGAGGAGAGTAGAATAAGGACTGCTAAATTTTTTTGTGTACGTGCTTAACTATCCTACGTACGTAGACTAAATCTATTTTTGGCAATGTTGATTAGGTATACGACACGTTAAATATTATGATACCATGAGTAGATGCACTGGCCATAGTATTATGCGCTATATAAGGTCGCTTAACACCCGTTCCTTGACGCGTTATCTGTACAATTCTGGAAAAACGGCGGAGACCCCAGTCCATTACGCTTTTCATCATTTCACTACGCAGACTCGGGTTGGAATAAAAAAAAAAAAAGAAATTATAACCCGGTGTCTTGAAAAATAACACAATCGAGATGTGTGATTTTTAATTATTTAAAGCGTAGCCTCTATATATTGTGTGCAATTGTCTTCATCTCGTCTATCTGGATAGTTAAAAAACTGAAATTAAACTTTTATCTAGATCCAGCTCGACTTTGGAAAAAAAAAAAAGAAAGAATCAAAGATGCATACTTCTTATGGAAATGAGGTCCTGGTCAAATTGGCTGAAATTTTGATATGCTGTAGGTTTTGATACAAAAGTCTCAATGGTTACCAGGTCAAATAATCAATACTTTTGGACGGCTCAAATATCCAAAATTGGCCTTCATCGTCAGGCTGTATGACGTGATGATAGGTAATAACTACCAAGACGATATCCTTTAACAAGTATTAATAAGAGATCGTAAACGAGCAAATTTCGTGGGTGTACTAACAATTATATTTCATTATATCAAGATGTACAGATATCTATAAATGCGGTACTAGTTTCGTTTTAACTGCAGTCTGCATCAGCCACTAAACAATAAATACTTATACATGATTACATAAAAAAACTTTAAATAATTAACAAATAAAACGCGAATATAGTTCATGTCAACATAGTCTGTCAGTAATTAAAAATTGATATAACAATGAATAAAACAAAACGCAATATAATATAATCAAAATCATGAACGCGAATAACGATCTGTAATTTATCTTCGTCATCTTTAACAGTTCTTCTGTTCCTCTGTTCGTTCGTAATTAATCTAAGACATTGAGAAACGAGTGAATCATCAAATTATGTGTGAACCACACGTTAATATAATAAAATGCACAGAAAATTCACCAAAAAGAAAATATGGGGACACCGGATTCTGTGATAAAACAGGAAACAGTGTTAAAAATCGCTTTCACCTCGTCACAACGACTGTAATAGAATGAGCACCGAGAAGGCGATGAAGCGTCAGCCAGGTCAAACCAATAATTATTTACAAACACGAAAATCAGGAAGAATAAATTATTAGAAATCCTATCAAGAAAACTATTATAACAATCATGTAGGAGGACCGTATCACTGTTTAAATTGATGCTATTCTTCTGAATTTTTATATAAATCATCTCTGAAATGAGTCGTTTGAAATAATTGAGTTCATAATCAAGAATCTTAGTGTTACTACAATCAAAAGTATGATTCAATTCCAGAATATCATTATAACTGAATGTTTCCCTTCTTGATTTATATTTTTCTTATGTTCTGTAACTCTTGTTCTTAATTTTTTTTTAGTCTGGCCTACGTAAGACGCTTCACAATCGTTACATTGAATTTTGTATATTACACTATTGCTCACTGTATCTAAATCTTTGTCTTTATGTTTCTTAACTTTTCTTAACTTTATGTTTCTTAACAAAACTCACCAACTTGTTAAACACTCTGTAGTCTATTAAAAATTCATCATTGTTAATAACCGAAGTAACCGTTTCAGAAACGTTCTTTATGTACACAACGTTCGTTATTTTATATCAATTATATAGAAGTATATTATATTGCATTTTGATTTATTCATTGTTATATCAATTTTTAATTACTGACAGACTACGTTGACATAAACTATATCCGTCGCGTTTTACTTATTTATTATTTAAAGTTTTTTATGTAATCATGTATTAAGTATTTATTGTTTAGCGGCTGAGGAAGACTGTAGTCAAGTCGAAACTAGTACCGCATCTATAGATATCTGTACATCTTAATATAATGAAATATAATTGTTAGTACACCCATGAAATTTGCTCGTTTACGGCCTCTTATCAATACTTGTCTTTGTAATTGTGAATGATATTTAGATTATTAATATCCTTTAATTAATCGCCAGCGTGTAATTATTGAATGTATCAGAACATAACAGTGAAAATAAAATATTAAGTCGTAGTTAAATGCATTCATACAAAAGAAGAAAATCATATTTACATTGTGTTATTGTGATTACCGAACAGTTTCACACATATGATTGTACCCAAACATATCAATATATGTTCATTTGTGCAAAATTGTTGCACTTATAAAAAATATAATTTTTTTAAATATTGCGTGTATGCGAGTGATTGAGTTTTCGTGTATATGATGTGTAAGTGCGCGCCCGCGCGCGTTTATACGTAAATAAAAGTGTGAATAAAGACTCTCAAGAGATGAAACACGTTAAATCTCAAATGCCTACCATCATGTCATACAGCCTGACGATGGAGGTCAATTTTGGATATTTGCGCCGTAACGCCAAAGTATTTGACCTGGTGACCATCGAGACTTTTGATAAGTGAGTCAAAACCAACATCATATCAAAATTTCAGCTAATTTCAGACCAGGACCCCATTTCCATAAGAAGTGTGCGGGGTCCTTTATGATTATAAATGACATGTAAATGTATATAAGAGGTAGATATAGAATTCTACTAGGTTTCTGTTATCCTATTAAAGCGAAGCTTCTCCTATTTCTGATTCTAAACTGACTACGCAGCAGCAGTGGAGCATAAAATTTATTACTTTTAATATATCTGGCGTATAAGAGTAAACATTATCTAAGTATTACTTTCTTAAGTTCTCGCGTGTTTCTCGCTCACTGTCGAGATAGATAGAATGGGAGGAAGAGAGAGCGCGCAACTGAGTATCCTTGATAACGATGACGACGGCATATAATGTCATGCCGTACTTCTTATTGCTTCCAGAGTCCTAGCTTAGATAATTGCGTACGAGTATCGGTCCAAGATTAAGTACAAGTCTTTTCCGAAAAGGTGGAAATTTAGAAATATTAATCTTCGCGCACAGTTCCAGCACAGTCTCGTAATACAATAGCATCTACAGGTCTCTAATTTAAGGCTCCGCGAGTGCCACCTCTAAGCAACGGACGACGAGAGGAGGCACATCATATTGTTACATAGTTGCTGGCATTTTATCAGAGCCAACAAACTCTTATTGGAGAATTTGTGCCAGCGTTAGTAACAAACCTGGAATCTAGTTTTCAGAAAATATGAACTTAATTAAAAAATCAATATGACATCCATACACCACATTACATGTGTACACACAGCACTGCAACGTCTGATTGTGAGTACATCTGAGTACAAAGAAATATGTGGCAATATGTAGCAATCGGTAGCAAATACTACAGTATTAATTTTATTAACTTCTAATTTTTCGGTAGCAAATACTACAGCATTAATTTTATTAACTTCTAATTTTTCATCAATACGATCTGAGTTGTACTACAATTCAAGTACGTATTTGACAATCGTAATCATTGCAACGATAATACGAGTGTTTACGGCCAGAAAGTGCATAATGCGCGACAAAACTCTCAGCGAATTCTGCTGCAGAAGTCTACAATAGAAGTAAAAAAGTTACTTGAGATAAAGACACAGATAAACACGATTAAATTAGAAAATTTAGCTGTAACACATCTAATTGTGAGGCTTAAATCGGGTATGTGTCAAATCATTGTAACCAATTCCAGAAGAAAAAGCAGTTTTACATCTGTCATAAGATTCTTTAATGTAATTGGCTTAAATTTAGATCCAGTGAGGAACTAAGAGCAAGAAGCAATCATGTTAAAAAAATCTTACAAAATCTTAAATCTTAGTTGCTTTTTCTGCTGAATACAGCCAATAAGATGAGATTATATTTACATGAAAAATATTCATCTCTGGCTATTATTAATCTGTCACTCTTATTACGCCCGTTTCATATTTTCCTCATTTTTATAATTACGGAAAATATTTAGGCTTAGGTTTACATCTAAAGATTTATTTCTATATATAAGCGTTAGAAGTCTTATTCATATGACGTCATATTGATTTTTTGGGTGTTGAGTACTCATTTATTGAAAGCAGATGTCTAGTCACTAGACTCTAATGGCGTTGCTAACGCTGGAGCACATTTTTAACACGGGTATTTGACTACCCTTTTCCTTCAGGCCCCCAAAGTGTCCTCTATTGCGCCAATCTTTTTCTAAATACCTTTTTATTGTCAATCGCTCAAATTTTTCGTCATTGGACGAATCCTGTTAAAATGTTGCATATGAAATGTGGGATCTTTCACCGAATTTCTAATCCTTTGTCGTAAAATACATAATGTTAGATTGTAACGTTTAGAAAAAGGTGCGAAATTACAATGTTAAGTTATAATTATGAGCAATATTGAAACTATATATATAACCATATTACAAATATATGTGAAATGCAATAACTTAACTGTTTTAATTTAAGTTACATTTATAATTAAATTACAATATCTAATTAAAATAAAATGAAATTAATAATTAATTTTGCTAATAGTGTTCATCAATCTTTTCTGTATTTTAAGAGTTTTTATGTATAGAATTTATCTCAACTAACATAAATCTCATATAATTATTTAATATTTATAGCAAGTAAAACGATTTCTTCTCTTTCATTCTATATACATATCTATTTTGTTCATCAAATAATTTTTAGTTTTCTTATTTGGATAAATATGATTCATTAGCAAAATTGCAATAAATATTACTTTAATTAACACAGCACTGCCGTGCTGATTATCGACAATGATCGATATTATTTAAATTTAAAAAAATGCATCAAATTCACAAAAAATATTTGTAATATTTATATAAATATAATTAATAGTAAAGTAACAGTCTAAAGTAATAAATGTAAAAAACATTTTTTGCATAATTTCATTATATCATATACTTAATATGTATTTTATCAAAATCTAATAAAAAAAATTTTACTCTGGCGTCGCCGAAGAGAACTAAACGAACTAATTGTAAGTTCGGCATTCTCAACGTGTTGACACAATTTTTTTTATAGAATTTATTATTAAAATTTTAATTTAATTATATTAAATATTTAATCATTACCAATTCGTTTCCCATTCCGATATTTTAAGTTGACAATTAAGTTTATATGTGAGATTATTATATTCATCACAAATATACTATTTGAAAATTTTGCTTGCAATATTTGATATCATGTAAATAGTACTTTCGTTTTAATTTCGTTAAAATAAAGTGAAAAATCCAACATTCATCGCGCAACGTATCAAAGTTTTTGAAAGGACTTTAAAATTTGGAGCGTAACACAATTGAATGTCGAAAGCCATAACGACGTTGCAGGTACGCCGTTGGAGATGTTTTTGATGTCATCGTCAACCGTGAGACAATCGATCGAAAGATACGTATAAATTGAAACAAGACGACGACAACGACAAACATTTCCGAGCGGCACCACGGTTGGATCCGCGGCATGTTTATGTACAACGGGCGAGCACATATAAAATTTTGTATAAAAATATTTTCTCATATGCGTGTGTTTATCTGTATTTGTGTACGTGTACGAGTGTGTCTGTGTGTGTGTGTGTGTTGTGTTCCCGTATGCATGTGTATATTTATATATGTACATTTTGAATAATTAATACTGAGTAATTAATATCATTCCATCGTGCGTATTACGCCGCGGCGTGAGCCTGACGGCTCTCCACGAAACGTCGTCACAGTCCCCAGGGCAAATGATTTTTTGGGGGAAAAAACGCTGAGAGAGTCTGCCAGGAGGGATATTCAAAAATCCATTCAGGATAAACGTCATCGAACGGCCCATGTCGTTCGAGAAAGCATACCTAGGCGCAAAACCAGATTTTTCTTAATGCGTCTCCTCCGAGAATGAAGTCGCCACCAGATTGAGAGGAACATCGGAAACGTTCTCCTCGTCGCCTTCATCCGCATCCTCATCCATGGACAAGTGCCGTTGCATACGCTCCTCGTTTTTTACGTGTTGCTACAATAAAACATGTTTGATAAGAGCAAATTTGCAGCCAAAGAGAAACCAATTATAGAGATAAGAAATATTCAAATACAAAGTTTTAAGTTTTAAGTTAAATATAAAAATTATTTAACTTTTTTTTTAACTTTAATTCACACTGGATACATTAAATGCGAATATGAGAATATTTCTTATTTCGATATACACGAAACATATGACGGAGAGTGGCTTACATGAATCATGTAATTAGATAAAGGTAGTGAGTAAGCAACTGACGGAGGCGGATGGCCACCGGGTATGCGCGTAGGCGTCAACGCTGCATGCATCATTAGCTGAGGATGAATTTGTTGTCGAAGGGCATTCAGCATATCCGCACTCTCGGCATCCATTTGTTCTCTTGTCGACTGAGACGCTAAGACTGTGTCTCCTTTTTCTAAACGTTATTAATTTCATAAGAATAAATCATTATTACTCGATCATAAGAGAGCGAGATTTTTCAAAGAAATTGAGATCACTTAATATCCTAATAATAAATGATGCTTAATCATCAGTAATTTCAGCTAACAATAAGCTGAAAGCTATTTAAAATCACAAATTGTCAAGGTTGGGTAAGTTAATAATTTTTTTTAACTAAGTTAAGTTAAAGTTAACAGTTTAAAAATTTAACTTACAATTAGTTAAAGATACAAGTTAATTCATAATAAAATTAATTAAATTAAAAGTTAATAAAAAAGTAATTAAAATGTTAAGTTAAATTTTTTTATTTCATAATTTTAGGGTTTCTAAATAAAATTTCTAAATAAAGTGTATATTTGTTATACTTATTTTTGTCGGGCCGCAAAAAGAAGACCGATTTCGAGGGACTTCTTCTAACATTAGAAGTACCACGTACGGTGATTTCTTTCCGTGGCCAGACTATATTTATTATATTAACAACTTGCCTTGATATTTGTTCTCAAATTTAAGTTTAAAGACACCAACGCAGATATGTATTTTTTCTTGGGTTTACATAAGAAGCACTAAAAATGTAACTTTAAGGAAGTTAAACCAAAAATTAATAGTCCCGGATAAAATGTAACTAAATTAAGTTAAAATTTTTAACTTAACTTTTATCTTTTTGACTAGGCCAACCTTGCAAATCGTTGTACATTAATGTTGAGAATATTGTTGAGATTGTTATATTCATGCATAAATTAAAATCCAACAAAATCCTAACAAAATAAACTGCAAAAGCAATGAATTCGATTGCTAGTATCCAAGCATTATTTAATTTAATTTAATTTTTCAAGATTGAAAGACAGGCTAGTCTTAATTTCTTTTTAAAGCCTCATACAATACGCGCTTAAAGAAGAAATTGAATAAAATATCAATAAAACTATTGCTTTTTTAATCCGTTACAAACAGAATTTATCAGATATTATCAAGTTAATACGTATGCATTCCACGCTGAACTTTCCGTTCAGATTGTTCAGTCATATTTTTGCCACTGTATGTAATACCACTATAAAATTTAAAATTTTTAAAGTTATGCATTGATGCCATCGCTTCATTATTATTCATAATACAGTTATTACATCGTGAGAATATCGCGTTATCATTTTTCTTAATAATAATTATTAATTTTATAAATATTATACGTGTTATAAGCAAAACAAAATAAAATTCCTTTTCTGCAATGTAGAACGAAAAGTTAACTACAAGATAAATAATCCAATATATACACATCTTTCAGCGGCAAATAAAATATACTGTTTATTAAATGTTTAATCGTTAAGAATCTCTCTTACTTCTATGCCTTGTTGGTTTCTCGCCTTTGGGTCTACGTCTGCGTGTATGTATGGTGTCTCTACGCATAGTAACCGGGCGATTGACGCCATGCAGCTTGTAGTACAACCCACAGGCGTTGCACACCATTTCGCCCTTCATATTTCTTCTCCAAATGGTTGTTGTCATAGTGCCGCAATTTGTACAAGACATATCGACCTTTTTCGCCACGTTACCACTTTGCTGATCGAATTGTTGCTTTTGATCGTCCATCTGAAACCAACCAATTGATTATTGCAAAAGAGTGGTACATTGTACGAACCATTCAATGGGCCGTTTGCACAGAAGAAATATAAATACCTTATTCTTTACCTTGCTCGACCATGTGGTAAAATCATGCGCTTGCTCCTCATTGTTATGCTCGTGTTGGTAATTGGCAACAATGTCCGGACTTGCTGGAGCTTTACTGGGATAGCTCTGCTTTCTACGACCTTTCGTCGTCGTCGCCATCTCCTTACGACCAATGCTGGCAGGGCTAGATGGATTACTGTCTATCGAAGCACTCTGTACAGACTGTATTCAACACTATTTTATTTATCGTTAAATTTTTTCAAAATTATTTTTTCGGAAGAATAATATTACATACTTTTTAACCTCTTATATCAATTGTAATATGTAACAGTCTTATGTCGCATAAAAAAACAAAGAATAAGTTTTTTATAAATAAATAAAATTAACTTTATAATACATAATTTTAATTGTACAAATAATTTAGAGACTCCGAGATTAATAATTTAACGTCAATGTTGGATCATTATGTAAATCATTTGAAAAGATTAATACATGTTTGCATTAATTTTTTAAATTAAAGAATTTCAATATTTTTCTTTTTTTTTTTGTTGAAGTGTAAAGTTAAAAAAAATTTTTAATAAATAAAAAGTCAAGTAAAAAATCTCTTTCAGTTGTGAAATTGTCATTTTTCAAACAAACACAAATAAAATCAATTTACGATCTGTTACCTATTATCAAAACAAAGAGATGATATTAGAAAGAACACAAATGCACAGTAAGGTGTGAGGTGTCTCACAATTTGTAAAATTGACATGCTTGGTATTGATATACTTTTGTCCTGATAATTTTATTAAATAAATATACATTTATTATAAATAAAATAATTTAATTTTTATAATTAAAAATTAAAAATTGTTATAAATTATTTAATATATTTTTAGTATTTTACTATAATAAAATATAAATTAACAAAGAAAAATCAATTTTTTTACATATTTATTATAAATTATTTAATATTTTAATATATTTTTTATATTTTACTAATATATTTAACAATAAATTAACAAGAAAAAATCTATTTTTACTCTTACAATATTTAACAATATCAGTATAATTTTTAAAAGTATTTTATCATAATTTTGTAATTCATAAAAAAGAATCATTATATGAAAAAAATTGTAACAAAAATGATAAGATTATTGATGTTTATTTACAAAAATTGATATTTTTATGTATTTAAGAAAATTTATAAAATCACTAAAGGAAATTTGATTAAGAAAAATAACATTTTATAATATTCGTCTTACAATTAATATGATGGAATCTTTCTCATATATTTTATATCTTGATATCGGTTAACAGAAAGCGAGCAGAGACCCAAGAGTTTCCGATTATCTATTATTTACGGAATTCTACCTGGAATATGTCCTGAATAGACTTAAAAGAATTTCCCGATCTGCCAATGGCCAATGACCGACCGACGGCTTAACCGGTGACCTGAGTTTTTCCCGCCACTATACCTGGACCTTTTCTTTCTATTTATCAGACGTACAGATGTTCGCATTTGGCGAGGTATTTTCAAGAAATGTTTTGTCTGTTTAGGACCGGGCAGGATACTACTGCTACGCGCAGAAGAATCATAGACTTGATTCACAAAAATACAAACATATTCGCAGATTTTTCTTTCTCTAATTCAAATTTTAAATTCGTAAATTTTTTTCCGTTTTTTTTTCCTTTACCCTATCTATAAGTGTGTATATATATATATATATATA